TACTGTGAGAAGCAGGCATAATAGTGGTTCAGCAGTCTGACCCAGTGTTTGTGGATTTTCTGGTTAAAACTCTGCTCTTGCAGCCTGTAGTTCGTGCTCCAATCAGATAGTGATGTCCCTCCGTCATGTGTCCTGAGCAGCTTTGTCTCTCCTGACTGAGCTTTAATTTATGCTAACCTCTCCACTTCCATCTTAATCTGCTCTCCATCTCTGGTTGCCCCTTTCCAAATTCGGCCTCCTTGCTGCCCTGCATTATGGTTACCTGCATGGTGCGGTCTACTTAGTATCTCACAGTGGCTGAGAGGTACAGCTCAGCTTCCTGGCCGGGGGAGCTGCCCGAGGAGCGCATTCTGTAGGGCAGGACAGCTGAGCCCTCACAGAAGCCAGTAAGCACCTACGCCCGCAGTTAGTGAACAGGAGTCACCCTGCGGATATGCCCACAGCACCTTCTGCCATGCCGGTCTGCAGAGGAAAGCTTCGAGAAGGAGGAGGAGGACGAGGTGCCCACTCTGCTGTGCAGCTAGACTGAAACAGCTGATCCTTCTGAAAGCAGGTGGGCTCTGAAAGAGCAAGCTGGGCTCAGCCCTGAGCCATCCACCAGTCCCGAAGGTGACCTGCAGTAGCAGCAGGCACTGCTAGACTGTAGGCCTGGGTGCCATGATGGATATGTTACACCAGGATGGGTAGGACTCGCGTGGGGCCTCCCTACCTCCCATCAGAGGCCAGGGCTGGGATTGTGTCTGGGGGAAGCAGGGGTAACCATGCTCCCATGGAACCCCCAGGGCAGGCAAGCAACACTTCAGCCCCGGACCTGGTCCCCTGCTCCCTGGCACGGTTCTAGATTGAGCTGTCATGCATCGGTGTGGCTCTCAGAGCCCTGGGACCTGCCGAAGCAGATCTTAGGAGAGCATTGACACAGAAGTTACCATCTCACACCACCACCAGTTCTCAGTGCCAGAGCTTTACTTTTTAAAAGAAGCACGTACTTTACGTGCCAAGGGGCATCGTAACGCAGGCTACTGGCACACACAGGTAGCCTGCCTGTGGGAAGAGGTCACCAAAATTCCCACAGGTGCGCTGGCTCAGGCCAGCTTTAATACAAATGTTTGTTAAATGCTGCTTTATTGTTTTCTGGGTTGTAGGGACTGAATTTTAAATTATTTAAAATTCTTAAGATCACTTCAAGTTTCCCCAGTAACCTGTGTTTCCCTACACTGGGGCGTTGGTGTCTTGTACAACACCTGCAGCTCTGGACCGTTAGACTGAAGGTGAGAGCATTTTTATAAGGAAAGGAAACTGACCCCCTTCCCTCTGCAGGAAAATCACTGTTTATGTTCTTGTCCTACTTATGTCATTTTGTATCTGTCTTCCTGTCGTGCCGCGGTGGCACGCACACGCACACCAGCACCTTGGGATTCAGCCGCCTCTGCAGGCACAGCGCAGTCCCTGCAAGGCCGCGGTGGTAATTGAGAAAATGAGCTGCGCCCATGCAGCTCCCCAAAGTTGCGGCTGAGGGGTAAGAGTGGTGCTCTGGCCCCTCCTCCCTCCTCCAGGACGGAGGAGGAGGAAGCAGATGGTTCTGATGCCGAGCCTTGGCCACACCCCCCTCGGGATTTGTTGCATGTCCCTCTTCCCCAGTGTAGTCTGTGACAGTCACGGTGTCTGAAGTTAGAGTTTTTAAATCTTGTCCTAGAGCCTGATGCCCTCCAGCTGGTGGGTACCGAAGACTTGGAAATGCTTTCTCTTCAGCTTCTCGTGCCGTGTGCAGCATTCAGGAGTCCCTTGGGGAAGGTATGGGTGGGTGTGCGTGGGGACCAGGAGGATGACTCCTCAGAGCCTGATGCAGGAAATACTCTGCGCAGCCTTGGAAACCCAGTCTCCAAAGGTGATTTTGAAAGCAACAGGGCAACTGGCCTCCTCCCATGCCCAGGCCTGGGAGCCTGCACTGCAAGGAGTAGGTGTGCAGAAGCACCTGGCCGTTGGGCAGCACATACTTTGCATCAAAATGATTTAAGGTATTTTCTGCCTATAATCTATAAGTTAGTCAGGAGTTCCCTCACTCCTGAGGCTTAGAATTCCAAAATGAGAATACTAATACGAAAGGGGCTGGGGTGTAGCTCAGTGGTACAGCACTTGCCTAACATGTATGAGGCTCTGGGTTCAATCCCCAGCAATACAAAAAAAAAAAAAATAGTAATGTTAAAGACTTCATTTTCACCAGGGTGTCTCACAGAGCAGCACCCTTTACCTATGTGCAGGGAATGGTGCCCCGGTCCGTGCCCGGGCCTTCCTGCCTGCCACACTGCACAGGACGGTGGATCCGGCGGACTCACCTCTCGAAGTTTGTACTCTGTCCTGTCCCCAGCTGAAGGGGGCTGCATGATGGGAGTTATTCAGTGCTCCAAAAAATGACCTTACTGATCATCAAAGAAATTCAAATTAAAATAATGAAAAGTTACTTTCACTCATCTAATAAGGAAGAAAGAATTGTAGTAAGTAGGAATGAGAACATTTAGCAAGACCAGCTATACACTGGAACAATTTTCCTGAGGTCAGCTGGTTGATGCACACTGTGACCCCCTCATTCCTGACCTAAGGGTCACCTAATAGAGCCCGGACTCAGACCTGCATAAGTTCTGGGGGCGACAGTGTTTCTCAGGGTGTGTGGGCATGGATTTATGTAAATGTCCCACATTGGCACAAAGGCTAGATGACCACAGATGTGTGTATACCCACATATAAATATATGTTTTATCTGTACATGCACACACAGGTATCATGGGATGCTGGTTATCCTTGAAAGTAAAGAGCTTGAGGGGTTAGGAGGTGCTCTGGAAAAGGGAGAATGCACCTTCACTCTTCTCAGATTAGAATTCTGTCCCAGCCTCTTACTGTAACTTTGGAAAGCTGATTAATCTGCCTGTGCCCCGGTTTCCTTATCTTTCCTTACCCAAGGGATAAGTTTAAATGAAATTGCCCACTGGCATGCTTAGTGGCCAGTAACTGTCAGAGTTAGCAAGTTATTTCTGTGCCCGTTCCCTCCCCTGCCAGCAGGAGTGGCAGGCATCCTGACCCGAGAGGGGCTGCTGTCCGGCCCTGCATGTGCACCTGGCACGAAGCACCAGTGTCTGGGGTTCACCTGTCGCTCAGACCGAGGTGAGGACATGGGTCCCCGGGAGAACACTAAGGCGATTTGTGGGTCACACAGACACGCAGACCACACACAGCAGAACACACACCTTAAAGTGACCAACTCTGAGAAGGGAATTCAGAAGCAGTTTTTGGTTTTGGTACTTTCCTATATTCTCTCAACAGTGAATATATTTTACTTTAATGACTTATAAAAACAATGATTTTACACTTGAAACATGCTTCTCCTCAGCCTGTGCATAGCAGTTGGGCTCCTGGGCTTGATTTTCCCAGGCAGTGGTTTTCCGTGTCACAGCCCTAGAGTCTGGCCACATGCAGATGGTGTCCTCTCGTACCCAGTGTCCGGCGCTGTCCAGATATTTCCTTCACTTGGGTCAGAACAGTGATTCTAGCCCCTGGGTGCATGCTAGAGTCACTTGGGGAGGTTTAAGATATGCTGGTGATGGGCTCCTCTGGGCCGGCCAGTCAAACCCACATGCATGGGGTAGACCCTGGTGTCTGCATTTTTTAAAGGCTGTGTCAAGCAGGTGGTGCAGAGCAGCCTGCTCCTTAGGACCTTCCCTGCCTCCCACAAGCGGAGCCCTGCCTCTGGTCAGTCTCAGAGCCAGTCCTAGCAGTGTTTCCTAGCCATCTGCAGAATCCCCCAGAGAGCTTATTAAGAATGCAGATCTTGGGGCCAGACGGAGCTCATGGAAAGAGACTTATCCATGTGTACAGCTGTGTGTCACTTAGTGGCAGGGCCACATTCTGCGAGAAGCATCAGTAGGCGATTTTGTCGCAGGTAGCACACGTGGCCAGTGGATGTGAAGCTGAACGCAGAAAGTGAGGCGCTGCCCGCATGGTGCAGCGTGCTGTCTTACAGTCAGTCTGTGCTGCAGTGACGAGAGAGGTGAGTAGGACATGCACAGATCCGTGGCGCAGTCATGGCCGTAGGATCCAGTATGATGTCTACATAATCACGTGTGGTGTGTCTTCACAGGGCCAGCAGGGCAGTAGGTGTGTTTCCATCTGCCTACCCACAGGTATTGAGTTCCACTGCACTGTTACCAGAGCTATGAGGCTGCTAGGTGTTAGGGATTTTCCAGCTGCGTTGAATCTGAAGTGACCATTGTCATAGGTGCAGTCTGGGCTGACCAAAGTGTGGTTCTGTGGCATGAGGCTGCATCTGACCAGCCCCCTGGATGAGTCTCACGCCAGACCAGTGTCTTCTGCACGCTGGGGACAACTGGGGGTCCTGGAGGGATTTTCGTGTGCAGGATTCTAACACAGCACACCCAGGATACAGCCTGGACATTGGGGTTTTTTAAGTCATTGCAGGTCTGGATATGCAGTTGTGTTTGATGGCCATCAGTAGAGGAAAGTCCCAGGGCCAGCAGCGTCTTTGGCTGGAAATTTGATAGGTGTGAAGTATGAGCCCTGCGCAGTCGTGCTGCATCAGACTTGGGGTAGCACTGTGTGCCTTAGGATCCTCAGTATTTCTGACCCTCATGGAAGCATTAAAAGTGGGCTCCCCGAGGTGCTCAGCAGGTCAGGCTGAGCCAGGCCTGGACTGTAAGTGGTCTAGGACTGCACTGAGCCCCCTTGGGCCCATGGGTGTTTTCAAGTTGTGAGGGTCTTGACATCTCTGGGGTACAACCAGCATCCCTGGTGATCCTGCGGGCAGCCTGGTGCTGCCATCTCTGAGCCCTGAGCCCATGCAGCTGTCTTCCAGCCACAGTGATTGCGACTTGTTTTCCTCAAAGTGGGCAAAGAGTGTGGGGACCAATGTTTTGACTCAAAGGCCCAGTCACGCGTCAGGGAAGGGCACATTTCTCCTGTGAATCACATCCGTGCTTCTTTTTGTTTTGTAGGTTTTATAACCAGCCTGCCTTAGCATGGTCCTCTCAGCCCCATATCGGTCATGACCAGGCCTGTCGGAGAAGAGGTCAGAAGGCCAGCAGCTCGCTGGGCCCGCGAGACCAGGATGAGCTGGAGAGCAGAGGAATGGCCCAAGCCCGCAGCCTGCCTGTCCCCGTGAGGGAGGGCCCATGGGAAGTCGGAGGAAGGACAGAGCACGTGATGAAGAAGGCAGTCTGGGAAGAGGAGCCAAGGATGTCAAGTACTGCTAAGTGGCAGAACACGAGCTTCGGGAGCTGGGACCAGCCGAGGAAGTTAGGGAGGCAGATGTCTGATGGTGACGGGGAGAGACTGTTTCAGGATCTGTACCCATTCATTCAAGGCGAGCACACACTGACTTCTCAGAACAAAAAGAAATCCCAGTCACTACCTCGAGTTCTCTCCCCCGAGAGCCTGAGTTCCATGGAAATCCCCATTGAACTAAATGTTGGACACTTACCAGGTGTTCCCAGAGTGCCCCCGTATCCTCCCAGTTGTGCACCCCATTCGGAATTGACCAAGAACTCTGGGAAGGCTGGCTCCTCGGCCCCCTTCCCCCGGCCGAAGTTTGGGAGACCTCTCAAGCCCCCGTCATACAGCTCACACCCACAGCCCAGGGGCGGGGAGCTCGGCAGCCTCCAGGACGGCCAGCAGACGGACCTGCATGGCCCCTGCTTCCCCAGAGCCAGCGAGCCCAGGTCTGAGCCCAGTGTGCCCGACTGTAGCCTGGAGCCCCCAGTTTATGTGCCTCCGCCTTCGTACAGGTCGCCCCCCCTGCACATCCCAAATCCCTACCTGGAAGATACAATGCCCAAACACACGAGTGGTGGCCACGGCCCACAGAACCATCCCACTGAAAAGCCCGGGGCCAGTGTCCCACTTCCTTCTGGCCTCCTCAGAACTGGAAATGAATACGGTGCCAGCCCAGGCTCTCCCCGAAGTCTCCATCCACACCCTCGTCCTGTTGCCACCTATGAAGGCTCTGTTCAGTACATACCCTTTGATGATCCTCGGATTCGCCATATCAGACTAGCTCAGCCCCTGGGTTTTGGTGAAGGAGTGAAGCCTGACGACAGACCTTCTGACACCTGTCCTGTGTCTCTCCCAGAGCCAGCTCAGAGGAAGAGGCGCTGTGACGGTGCCATTCTCAATGCACAGAGCCTGACACTCACATCAGGGAACGAGAAGGGCCCGGCCTGGGTTGACCCTGGCCCACAGTGGCTCTGGGGCCAGCTCCCAGGGGGTGGAGAGCATGCACACTCCCCTGACCAAAGGGACCACTGCTTCTCGAGGGGACAGCATGGCCACACAGGGAGCCACATTTTCTCCTCAGACCCACAGGGTGAGAGGACCTGTGAAGCCCACACCAAGCTCAGAATGTTTGAAACTGGGATGCAGACCAAGAAAAGTTCAAAGAAAAAAGCAAACGAGACTATATTTTGTTTGGTTTCTATCCCAGTTAAATCAGAATCCCATCTGCCAGAGATAGATACGAACAACAATGACTTAAAACAGAGCGCTGATAAGAAGCCCGGGCTTGATAAGAGCCTGGCCTTGCAAGAACAAAGCCTCCTGAGCATGTCTTCCACTGACCTGGAGCTGCAGGCTCTCACGGGAAGCATGGCTGAGAAAACAGAGTTCCCAATGCAAGATCTTGGGGAACCAGAAGGGGACAAACAAACAGATGACCTCAGATTCGTCCACCTTGCAGAACACAGAGCGCTCAAGTACTCTGGCTCATGGCCAGGGCACCAGTATAGGGACCAGCAAACACAAACCAGCTTCCCCGAAGACTCTCAGGGCTCACAGCTGCTGCCTGCTGCAAGGCCGGGGGAGCTGAGTGAAACGGCCCCGAAGTGTGTGGACCCCACTGCCTCCGGCATTCAAGGGCATGCAGCCCCAGGATCCAGGGACCCGAAACGGAAGGCACACGGCCCTCACCTGAAGGGCCAGATGCCCCTGAGCCCATCCAGCCACAGTGCTTTCTCCAGGACTTCCCCGTCCACCACTCAGGCCCCTGTGCCCAGGGCTGGCCAGGGTCAGCCCTGCATGGATGTCTGTGGGCAGGGAGCCAGCCCGGTGGCCAAGCCCGAAGTGGTGAAGGGGGAACCCGCTGCGGGCCCCTGCAACAGCAAGCAGCTGTTCGGCCAGTTTCTTCTGAAGCCGGTGAGCCGACGGCCCTGGGACCTGATCAGTCAGCTGGAAAGCTTCAACAAGGAGCTTCAGGAGGAGGAAGACAGTCCTGATGGCAGCAGCGGCGGCAGCAGCGAGGAAAACGAGATAGAACAGCGACTGGAAGACGATGTCGGTGCTGGTCCGAAGAGCTGGGGCTTCCATGATGACAGCCGGGAGAAGAGAGTCGCGCCGGGGCTCCTGGTGCCGGATGACCCCGGGTGTTGGTCAGGAAGGGCGAAGGGCCGGTCTGAGAGCGGGGACCTGAGGGCCGGCCTCCCACTGGCCCGTCCTCCGTCTCCCAGCTTCTCGCAGGTGCAAGGGGGCCAAGGTGAGCTTTTCGGGTCAGCAGGTAGAAGTCTGGTGACAGAGACTTGGAAGCAGGAGATTGTCAACGGGATGGATGAGCTTTCAGTCAGCCCAGGGCCCATGGAAACAGCGGTGTCTTCAAGACCAGGACACACAGAGCCAGCGCCCCCGGCCTGGCTGGCCGCCCCGAGGGGCCCAGCAGAAAGTGAGAAACTGGGCAATGCTCTGGGTTCTGTTCTGCGGCTCAGAGCGGTTCCCCCAGAGGAGCGGGCTGCAGGGACCCCGCTGACCCTTACTGACAAAAGCAGAGGCCTCTCTGCGCCGGACTTACGGTCTGTGGGGCTTGTGACCAGACAAGAGCCCAGCGCCAGTGAGCTGGACAGGCCTCCGGGTGAGGGAAGCGTTGCGGACGTCCCCCCAAGCCCCAGCGAGTCGCTGCAGGCGCGGGCAGCGCGGATCCTGGGCATCGAGGTGGCCATGGAGGCCCTGCTGCCGGGTGCCGGAGCTGCAGGCCCGAGCCTGTCACCTGAGCTGGACGCAGGTGCCCGCAGCCTGGAGCCGCCCAGGGACGGGCCCCTGCCCACGGTGAGCGCAGATGCCTTCTATGGCAGGAGGAAGTGTGGCTGGACCC